ACTCCTCTTCCCACCTTCAAGGCCAGCCACGGAATCCTGTACATGCCTGCAAAGGGCCGTTGGCTTTTGCCACTGGAGCGTGGCTTGGCCATGGGTTTTCCTTGCACGGCTGATGTAGCTGCGGCAGCCGCTGTTGAGGTGGACACAGTGACATGTTCCATGGGCAATGCTGCCACCTACATTGGCAATTCGTTTCATGTAGCAAACGCTGGTGCGGTTCTTGTGGCCGTACTGTTGTGCCTGGGGCATCCGCTACCCAAGCACTATGATAGCGGGTAGATTTTTGGTGCTCCTGCTTAGCAGTGTTTGTGTCACTGTCAGTGCTTATGTCACTGTCAGTGCTTTTTTGTCACTGTCAGACACTGCCGTGAGTCTGTGCCCAACAGTGCAGCCAAGGGTCTTGTTGCACACGTGGACTGCAAGTGACATGTGCGACCTGTGCAGTATGCTGCGATATTCAGGCTTGTGAGCTTTCAGATTTGCTGGGCCCCTTGACGACTTTGGTGATTTTAGGGCTGCCCGCAATGCAGACATTCTATGCAGCTGTGCCCAATAGCCAGACCTACTTGACGGACATGACGATCCCTGGCTACATGAGCTGCTCGGTCTTCCAGCGATATACTTTTATACTTTCTTGTTCTTGGGTTCCTGTTTAATGATGTGATGAATCCCCAGAAGTTTAGGCTTCTTGATTTTTTGAAGTAGGCAACTAAACAGCCCAGGTTGGCACCCGACCGAAGCGCGTGCAACGGCGTTTATGATGAGGTCGATGTCCCGGCGGCTTGGTGTCAATGTTAGCGGAAACCAGCCTTGCAGTTCGAAGTTGGCTCGCATGGAGCTTGGGCGGGCTGGCGGGCTGGGAACCGTGTTGGAGACACGGTCCTATACGATTTTCCGCGTCGAGATCAATGCCCAGCAAGGGCACCAGCGGGGTGTCTTTGTCAGCATTTTATATGCGGATGGTTACTTCTTTTTGTTACGGTACAGAACTTTAAGTTAACCTTTCCCAGTCATCAGGCCTGGTCATCTTCGAAGACCAGCCCTATGTGGGCTCCGTCAAGACGAGACAGCCTTTGCCCTTGAATGAGGCCTTGGACAACGCAGTCTTCGGGCAACTGATGATGGTCGACTACATGATAGTCCCGCTGTCGTCATTGTCATTGACGTCGCCGCCGGGGACAAGGCCCGATGAGAAGCCAAGCTTCAGGTTCTTCTCATTGTCTGCGCCCGCGCAATCCGTGATACGCAAGAACCTGACGCTCCCGCCGAAGCGGACTCGGCAGGGAGAAATCTTCTGCGTTGACCCGGCTGCTGCTCGGCCGGCAAGAGCTATTTAACAGTTTTCGGAACGGACTACATTCAGCAGATTGTCACTTTAGTAAACGAGACCAGAGTTCGTGCAAAGAACACATATTGGGATGCGGCAAGAGCTGGTCCGTGTACTTTGGCAAGCGTCACGTACTGCCGTGGCTATTGTGTTTCATTTCGCACCAGAAGCGTTGCACTAGGTTTCCTGCATGCTGGAGTACATCGTATCGAACGGGGAAGTCAGCAAGTTCCTTGGCCTATTATTATGCCATTCGCACGGCGTGGCAAGTGGTGCATGTTGTTTCGTTTGAGGCACACTGTGAATGCTTTTGTGGGGGCCAGCGAGAAGTACGAGTTCATCCCAAAGTCTGGAAGCCCAGTAACGGAGTTTTACTGGTCTTCGGACCCACAAGACTCCCCGCTCAACATCGGCACGGTCGAATGCGAGATCAAGGCTGGAACAAGGGAAAGAACAGTTACTCTAAGTTACTCTGCTTGTAGACCATTGGAGACCTTAAACTTGTTTCACCGTTAGACCTTAAACGTCAAGGCCATCAAGCCCAAAACCCGTAAAATAACTAGGAAGTTGCAGGTCACTGCTGTCTCACGGCCCGTCTCGGCACAATGGGTCTTGCAGACCCAACGCAAACGTCAGCTGGAGCAGGACAGTTCGTGGTGTTTTGAAAGCTGTTTATTCATTGCTTGTTATTACTCTTGCAAAGTGAGCAGGGTTGCCAGGAAGTGGGTGCTTTGGAGATGGAGCTCATGAGCAAGAGGATGATGCTGAAAGACCTGGAGGTTCAGGAGTCATTTCTATTTCACCTTGCTAGGCGCAACAATGTATTTAAGGCTTTTTTGTTCAGGAGTCGCTTGTCCTGCAGTGGAGGACTCCGGGATGACCCAGGAGCCAGCGAATGCCGAAGAGGAGACACAGTCCGCTGAGCCCACTGGCGCTGGCCAGTCCTCCGTCGTGCCCGAGCCCGCTCAGTCCACTCAGTGAGGTCGCTGTCCGTTTGGGATGGTCTCTCGGCCGTGAGCCAAGTGCGGTTTGGCTTTCTGTGTGACTGTGAGGGTTGAAACGAAGTGTTGAGATTGTGGTGAATGCTGTCGTTGGCTTTTCTCAGTCTCGAGTCTCAGGTTCCTCGCCTGCTGAGCTGAGAATGTCAAGGCCGCAAGCTTGATTTTCCAGAGAGATTGATTCATTCTTTCTCACACATTTTAATCCCCAGCAGCTGGGTACGGTATCACTGTCACTGTGACTCAGTGACAGTGATAGTTGAATAATATTCACTATTATAATGATATAGTGGTCGGCCAAGTTCCTGGTGAAGCTGCTGGGTGTCACTGTCCTGTGAAGTGTGCTCGCTTCGTGGAGGCATGGTTCTACAAATGACAAAAGCTAGGAACCTTGTGGATATGACCGATTTAGTCTAGGAGCCTGCCCAATAAGTAAGAGTAATCACCAGCCGTGAGTAGCCGGCTGGGCTTTTAAATGTCAAGGCAGTGCCTGCGCAGACGGGAGCAATCGCTTCATGGGACTTGGGAGAGTAATAGATGAGGCAGACAAGACCAGTTTCAGGACAGTGTAGCACTTGAAGACACTTATAATATAGCCAGATGACAGCATCACTGCCAGCGATCTCCCACAGTTTTTGTATGAAGCACACAAGAATTTCCAAGCCTTCCTGTCACTGTCAGTTTTCGGCTGGGTGTTTAAACGTCACTGCAATACCCGCACAGACGGGAGCAATCGCTTGATGTCTGGGAGATGGATGAGGCAGATATGGCCCAGTTCATTTTATTACACTAGTAGAGGGCGAGAGCAATCGCTGTTGGTCGGTAACAGGCAAGTCTTCAAGTTCATAAAGCATATAATTATCATTGTCGCTGTCAATGATCTCCCACAGTCAGTGCAGCCAACAAAGCAGAAGTCGTCACTCTTCTTGCCGCGGCGCATTGTCCGGCTCCTCACAGTCATTGGGGTCTATCTCCTGCCTGTCCTTCTTAGGCATCTTGACTTGAGGAGCTGTCTGCGCTCGGCATCTGACAGCAAGGGACGCAGCGGCTGCAAAATGCGTCCTTTGCCAGGGATGCCTGAACCATGCAGAGACTCCGTGTGTTTGTTCTGCGTCCTGTGGCAGGTTGATCGTGTCTTCGGCCACAGGCTGAGTGACCCTGGAGCCACTGAGAGAGTTTCTTTTCTTCGTCATGCACCTGTGCACCAGGTCGAGCACATATCCGGCAGTGCAAAATGAGGCCGGGAACGACAATAAGGCGAGCATATACTCTGGATGCATTCAGAGGGTGCAGGCATAAGGCTTAGGCCACGCAGAAAGTTTTATATGTTGTGCGAGGTATATGTCTTCGGCCACGGCTGTTTTCTCGAGCTGTCGAGTGAGGCCGGGATCAGTCTGACAAGTGTGCTTTGCATAAGCGATTAGGCTTGCTTTGGGTGGTTCAATTAGGCCCGTCAGGCTGCGTGGTTGGTTGTGCAAATGTGCGTTAGTTTAGGGATCTCAGGCCGATCCAGAATGTTGTAGACTTTTTAAGAGGGTATCGTGCTTCAAGGCCTTTGTTGTGGCGCCTTACTGTTCGTGTATCGCCGGCGTTCTTCGCCGTATAGAGACGAGATGATTAAATCCTGAGTCACTTCTTCGATGGCCTAACGAGAACGCCATTGTCGGAATACACCGTTCGATGCCCGGCCCTATGTCGTTGCTTTTTGGTTGTCGTGCTCTGGATTCAAGGACGTCAAGTCAAGGCAGGACACGACACGACATCGCGAAGCCATGCAACTGAAGCATTTCATTATTTCAGACAGACGGGATAGCGGTGCATGCAGTTATTCTGCAGGCTGCTGCAGAGCAGTGCGACTTTAGCAATTGTGACATGTCCGGCATGCATGATGTTTTCCGGCAGCTTCGGCCTTTTTTCTCCTGAGGCATGATTTAAGCCTGACTTATTGTTCCGAGTAGTGGGTTCCCGTGTTTACAGTTGGCAGTCGAGAATTGAGATTCCACGAGTACTCGGTTCAATATGTTGCAGTGTCAAGACTTGTGCTTGTGTAGTGCTTGCCTCTGTTTCTGTTGGAGGGGTTAAACAGACTGAAGACCTATGCAATGACAAACAGCTTTAGTTGGCTGAAACCTTAAACGCGAAGCCCGAAAGCACCATTTTTAGACTCGAGACTTTTCAGACTGGAGCCTCAGCCCCAACTCGAGACATGCTCAAGAACTCCGTTGAATTATTGGCAGAGTTCAAAACCGTCCAAAACCAGAGCGTTTCCGTCGGACCGAACAAGTGCCGCCAAGCATCGATGCATGGGCTGGTGGGTTTCGTGTTTGCTTGAATGTGCAGCCTTTGCACACGAGGGTGCGGTTTGCTGGGTCCTGGGTTCAGGGTCTAAAAAGATCCTTTATCATAAACAACCCCTCCATTGGCAAATTGTCATTGTCATCGTTCGGAAAAAATGCCTCAGGCACTTAAGGAAGGACATCTTCACGACTATGTTCAGCCCGAACCACAAACTAATAAATACAGGGAAGGTTTAGGGTTGAGGGTGGTATTTGAGTTGTTCAGCAAATTACACACAAGGCTTCTGCAGGGTTTCGGGTTACGGGCGTTTAAGCTGGGGCCATGCAGAAAGTTTTATATGTTGTGAGCATTGTGCGAGGTATGTCTTCAGTCTTCGGCCACGGCTGCTTTCTCGAGACGAGTGAGGCCGGGATCAGTGTGACGAGTGTGGCTTGCATAAGCGATCTCAGGCCAGTCCACACTCCTGTAGATTTTTCCTCAGGGTTTAGTGCCGCTAGGCTTTTGTTCTAGTGCCATACTGTGAGAAGTGTGGCTTGCGTAGGCGCTTAGGCTTGCCGGTGGGTGGTTCAAGAAGGGCCGTTTGGTTTCGTGTCTCGTTGTGCAAATGTGCAGCCTGCACTGCACGAGGGTGCGGTTTTGCAGGGTTCAGGGTCAAAAAAAAATCCTTTATCATAAACAACAGCCTCCATAGACAAATTGTCACTGTCATCGTTCGGAAAAAATGCCTCAGGCACTTAAGGAAGGACATCTTCACGACTATGTTCAGCCCGAACCACAAACTAATAAATACAGGGAAGGTTTAGGGTTGAGGGTGGTATTTGAGTTGTTCAGCAAATTACACACAAGGCTTCTGCAGGGTTTCGGGTTACGGGGGTTTAAGGCTGCGGCCATGCAGAAAGTTGTATATGTTGTGGGAGGTATGACAAGCGTGGCTTGCACAGGAACTTATGGTTCAATTAGGGCCACTTGGTTTCGTGTCTGGTTGTTCCATTGTGCATGGATGGGTTTAGGGATGTCAGGCCAGTCCAGAGAGCTGTCGATGTGTGATTAGGGTTTAGTGCTTGTAAGCTTTTGTTGTGTAGTGCCACATTGCATTATCGCCGCCGTTCCAAGCCTGTAGAGATGATTAAAGCCTGTTTTCGGTGCTTAGGAGTTAACTTGGCAGCCGAAAACGCCCGCCAAATTGCGGAGCCCTAATGCGATGTCGTTGCTGTTTGGTTGTCTGTCGCACTCTGGATTGTATGACGTTTCAGGATACGAGTAATCGGGGTAGAGGATTCAACACCTACCAAAAGACAGACAAATGACCGAGACGAGCGTGACAAACTGGACGCATGCTCTTGCGCGGGTTCTGCATTCTGAGACGACGAAGCGAGGGACGATTTCACCATGTCGCGTCATGTCACAGGGATTTCTTTTTTCTTCTGCATCGTGGATGAAACCAGGCTTGTTCCGACGAGTGGTTTCACGTGGTTACCGTTCCCTATGATAATTGAGATTAGGACGACTTGAGCATGTCGCGGCATGCACAGGGATTTCTTGTTTCTTCTTCATCGTGGATGAAACCTGCCTTGTTCCCAGTTGTGGTTTCGCGCGGTTATCGTTCCCTATAATTGAGATTCAACTATTACTCGGTTCAATCAGTGCGAGTCGGCGAGACTTGGGCTTGAATATTACTTGCTGTTGGAAGGGTTAAGACAGAAGACGTGTGCAATGACAAACAGCTTTAGTTGGCTGAAACCTTAGACCCCAAGCCCGAAAACCACAGTCTTGGACTCGAGACTCCTCAGCCTGCAGCTTCAGCCCCAACGAGTCGAGAATTGTTCAAGAACTCCGTTGAATTATTATTGGCAGAGTTCAAATTGTCCAAACCGTCCAAAGCCAGAGCGTTTACGTCTGAAGCAGAAGCGGCAACCGCCTGCCAGGCAGCTGCCTTGCAGATATTCTGCACACCGTCTGCCTCTCAGAGTCTGGACATCAACATGAAAACTAACCTACCCTATCCTGCCAATGCAAACCACCACCCGAACCTCCCCTGCCTGCCCGAACAGCCCCTTGACCCCATCCTGCGTTACCCTAACCTACCCTATCCGCCAAACCCTAACCTACCCCCTACCCTACACTACCCGAACCCACCCTAACCTACCTCACCCTACCTGCCCTTGACAGCACTTAACTTGCCCGAACCCTTAGCTGTAAGCCGGGTTTAGCGAGTTCCAAACATCATAGGTTTTCGACCTTTATTTGTCATTGTCACTGTTTAACTAACTCAGACTCAACAGCATCCCCCAGAATGGTCAATGGTCGTTGTGTTGTCGTTGCCAAACCCTAACCTACCCTCTGCCCTACCTGCCCCAAAACACACTCTGTCGAAAACCCAACCCTGCCCTACAACCCTACCCTGCTGCTCTCCCCACAAAGCCTACCGCAACTCCAACCACCCGCAAGCAACTACCCTACCCTGCCCTGACCTACCCTATCCTGGCAAAGCAAACCTACGATTGGGCCGTGCACATTAGCAGTGTCACTATCATTTTCAGTGTCAGTGTTATCGAGCGAAGCTGAGCCACTGCCGTTTTGTCACTGTAGCTTTCTTTGTTCAATCAGGCGAGCTGGCCACAGCCTCGAGAAAGACATGTCTTAGGGACCCAAAAAGCACATAATAACTATTTTCTGGGGATATCACTGCCTTATTAATGATTATTGGGCTTGATGATAAGGGGCTTTAGATGGGATATCCCTATCCTAATTTTGGAAAGCTTATGTCCTTTTTGGGGGCCTCACCACAACATCTTTTCGAGCTTTCCTCTAGTCTAGTCTATGTAGCTTGTCACTCTGACCTCACAACCGGAAAGTAAACCTTCAGGTGACAGTCAGACAGGAAGTCAATGCATGCAGTTAAGGATATAGTTAGTAGATAACAAGGAGCTCGCCTTCCCAATGGCCTTTGAATTGCCCGACCTCGAGTCCGAAGCAGCTTTTGGCGGAGAAATCATAGATCTTTCCGCACAGGGTGCATCGGAACCTGTTCAAGAATTTGTTCTGCCAGACCGAAATCCGAGTCAGCACTGTCACTGTCACTGGAGCCCTTCAGCGAATCTGACATCCAACGTGGGGCATTTGTTCTGGACGATGGAATGGAGGCGCCTGTGGCTGGACATAGCTGGAACCCTGGCGAAGACATGGGCAGAGACATCGGCCGCCTGGGAAAGGCGGCAGGGAACATTGGCCGTCAAAGTTCAATGCTCCTGGTCAATGTGTATCTGTCAATGCGGCGCCTGAGCAAGAAAACACTGGCCGCCATTTGTGAGGAGCTTCCCTCTTTGGCAAGTGCTGTAGCTGTGCCAGTGGCAGCGCAAGCAGCTGCATTGGTGACTCGCGTCGGGGGCAACACCATCAGGGCCGTCTTTAGCCGACTGGCTAAGAAGAACTTTGACATGGACACCCACGACGTTGAGGCGCCGTCATTGTCATTGTCAGTGCCAGCTCCCGTTGTGGCACGGGACAGGCAGAAAGCCCTGCGCATGTTGGTTTCCGAAATCCTGGCAAACGCAGTGGACGGTGGATCTGACGAAAGCCTGGTGCGTCGCGTAGCGCGACTGGAACAGCATGGTCTTGATCTCGGAGACAAGTACCATGACCATCGGTTGCCCGAACTGACCATTATTATTGTCATCAGGGTCTCCAGTAATTTGTCCTTAGATGGTTCGTGAAGTTAAAGACTCAAGTAGGGTATGTATGCGATGTACGTGAATCAAAGGATGTTCGCGTTGACAGAGTACCTGGCGTCGGAATGCTGCAGACAACTGGATGCAGAGGCGATGCAGCAGAGGCTAGGCGGACTGGGAGTGCCATCTCACTTCGCGGTTATGCCACTCAGACAGCATGCGACGCATTTTTTGACTGCTGCCATGCTGTATGTCTGTTTGGTTGTCCTGTAGTAGCCTGTAAATCAATAATTTGGCAGTGCAAGCCAGGTTCGACATAGTTTCGCTGGGAGCCACGGCATACTCCCGGCATGAATCCTTGATCATCACTGCCATTAGTCACATCAGCCCAGACACCGGCTATTCTGCTGCAGAGTGGAGCAACCTTTTGTTTTGGGTTGGGTGGTTTGTAATCTCTGGTTACAGTGTCGACACGTGCTTCCTGAGACATTACATTCCAGGACGTGTGCACGCCCGTCTTTGTGGAGCTCCCTCGGCGGGCCAGTCCCACAGTGGTGCTTTTGTCATGGTTAGGTAATGTGTTCGTTTTTCATGGGTACTTGATTTCAGTTCAACAAGCTAAGCAAGGAACAGAATTTGTAAAGTTTTCGACGCCTGCTGCCAATGCAGCAGGTAACACTGTCAGTGAGAAAGTCAGGCAGTGTATGGCAGAGCACCCAGCTGGGCTTTCGGACACTGTTTGCAAACAGCGTCTGCGTGGCATTGGTGGAGACGGCGCTATTTGCCACTTGTTCCCAAGGAGTTTTAAAAGCCCTCAACTTTAAACCCTGAAACCTAAACTTGTGCACATCACCCTGTCCAGGCACGGGCGGCCCCGAAGCTCGACATGCGTCAAGCGACGCTGCCGGCAAGCTTTGGAAACATTTTTTTGGTGGCGATGGCTCCGATGCCTTCATTGTCTGGGACGACTACCACAGTGTCTCGACTCCATTAAGTATTGTTTGTGTTAGCACTGGCTTTTGTTAATATTTGAAAACTGGGTATGGAAGAGTGACCTCCAATCACATCAGACTGCATCCCAAGTTTTCGCTCCCATGCATTCTCCCCTGGATTGCAGCAATCCAGGGGAGGAAATCTGTCGCCGCAGAGCCTTTCATGGTGTTGGTTTGTGTGAGGAGCTCTTCGACGTCAGTGCAGCAATGGCATCACTGTGCCTACGCGAGCAGAGCAAGTTGTTTTGCTTTCCACTGTCACTGTTATTTTTGGTGCTAGTCTGTCTAACCGGCAAATCGGCAAAGAATTGTGCGTCAGTTTATCATTGAAGACCGGCCATTGCCATGAATCAAGGTTTGGTGTCGGCACGGGGCGTGTCATTCTGCGCTCAGCCGCTAGCTTGGCGGATGCTGAAGCTGTGGTCGTCCCGAGTATGTCCGGGACTCGCAGTACAGTGTCATTGTCAGGAAGTCCTGGCGCACTTCATCGAAATTTCCGTTGTCCAGCTGAGAAGTCAAGCACTGTTTCGTAGTTATTTGAAAGCTGGTTGTTACATTCTCCTCACAATGGGGAAAATCAGTTCTGTCAAGTAATCACATCTGTGACTGTGCGGTAGGACTAGATGTGGCTTTGGCAACCTAGCGCCTATGTACCCAGGTGCATACGTTGCGGCAATGCATGCCCGACTTGATCTTTCGCGGAGTGGTCACGGCAAGCAGAGCCTGGAGAAGCTGCTTGGCATCGGCAGACGGCTTGATGCTGCTTGTTGGCATTGGTGGACAAGTAGTTTTCATCAGGTATTGCTGTATCTTCTAATTGTACGTGTTGCTCGTCAATACTCACGTCGAAATCAATAAATACGAAGTATGACTCCGGACTTAGCTTCCGCAAGGCCGTCGACTTCGTCGCCTTCATGCTGTTGTTTGAAGACCTGACCCGCAACAGCTTATTCCGAAGAGGGCAGGTGTTCCAATCGAACTCCAGCGACTTATGGAAGGTGCAAAGAACAGCCAAGGATTCCTTGAATGATTTGGATCAGGGGCAACGTGACGTGCGAGAACTTCAGCGTCTCGTGTCAGTGACCATGCTCTTGAAGGGCTACTTGTCCGTTCAGGATGTGTGAGAGAGAGAGGCTGAGACGGAGCATTTAACACACATAAAAGGTTTGTCTTTGTCACTGTCTGTATTATACAGTAACAGTACGTGTTCTAGTGTTACGCCTTTGCAGGACATACAGAACTTCATGCTGGTCAACCTGATCTCGCCACTCGGCCGGCGGTGGCGTCTTTTCCTTGGCAGTGCCGGTTCTCTGCTTCTCAAAGCGGAGTTTCAATCCGTGGCTTTGCAGCTTCCGGTGACAGCAAGCACGCACACTCGCTTGCTGTCTCCGCGATGTCAATGCGCTGCACGGTGTCTTGGCAACAATCAGCTGATTTTTGGAGGGTCAACTGACTGACGGGTTCCTGCTAGGTTTGCCGTGCAGTGCAGTTTGCCAGCCAAGGCAACGACGTGACGAAGCTCCGCTCGTCACCAAAGTCGTCAAGTGGGGTTCCCGTGACCGCAAGAAGCGCTTGAAGCTCGCACGGTGGGTGGCCAGGTCCTTGATCCCCCGGGAGGCCTTTGGGCACGTGGAAGACATTGCAGACACGGCGCCGCGCTGGGTGGAGCAGACAATTACAAAGGATCCGGCTGGAATGCAAGGAGTGTTAGGTCTTTACAACCGCTCCCCGCTCTTTGGACCGCTCTGCGTTGTGTCTTCCCGGACGCCGCACATTCACAAATGTGTGGAGACTCGGCCCGGGAAGTGTTTTTCGGCAGGATGTATAACAAAACGAAGAGTGTGCTGCGAGTCCTGCACAGCTTGTGTCACAATCCGAGGTGATGGCTCTGGTTGCGATGAGGCAACTCATTGTCAGCATCCTGCGGGAGTACCGGGACTATTTTGGCCCAGTCGGCATTAGCACACTGACAACAGACCTGCAGAACGCAATGTGTTTGGCGTGGGCATGGGACCTTATTCTGGAGAAGGCGGAGGTGTCCATCGAACAGGTGTACGCTTTTCAGTACATCGTGAACAGATTCAGGCAGCCTCTCAGTCTGTGTCAGTGGCCGGATCCGGCGGAGTTTCCATATGTGCAGCGGCGGTGGGACACTGACGGCCTGCTTGAGTTGCAGTACATGGTTCTCTGCCACAATGTGCTGTCGTTGTCATTGTCTCCGCACTGGCATCGGCTTTGGTATCCAGTGAACAAGGTCACCGTCAGTTTCTTTGTCATAGTTGGGTAGCCATTTGTATTTTTATGGGTACTTAAATTATAAACCCAATAAGGAATAGAAGTTAAATCTTGAAACCTATCCTAACAATGAACTAGGTTTGGCACGGCCACATGGTGCCATTCTGGCAGCTTTTCAGCCACTCTGGAAAAAAAAGGGCTGGCCAAAGGACCTGGACAGGTGTGTGGCCCACGTCATTGGGTCATACCTGGTGAGGCGGCCTCAAGGTGTCATTGTCACTCTGGGGGCCTTCCAGCCACTTTGGAAGCAATGTGGTTGGCCTGGCGATGTGCAAAAGGCCGTTGCCCGCAGGATTGGGAAGTTCATGATGACGCCAGCTGCGAAAGCTTTCCAGTGCTCCATCACATTCCTGCGGCGTGTTGGCTTCGGGTCTGCTGAGCGTGGCTTACGGCGTCGGGCTGGTGCATATGCAGGGGAGCGCTTTGCTACGCTGGCCAAGAACTTTCCAGGATCGCGATCAGATCTGGCCGGCCATCTGGTGGAGGTCAAGGAGTGGTTGGGAGAAGTGGATGTATCCGCTGTTTCGGGTGCCATCGACCTGTGCCCAGAGCTGCATGCCGCCAGAGAGGTGCATGTGCAGGTCTTTCAGCGTGGCTCGCCAGCACACAGCACCCGAAATAAATCATTTGGAGCCGCTGTGCTGTTATTTAACGTCCTCCTTTGCCTTTGCTCAGGTCGGCAGTTGTATGCCTGGCATGCAGCCCTCGTGCATCACATGTCCAGGGCACACGCTTGTGCTGAGAGCTTCTGTGAACGTTGCGGTTCCTTTTTGCACCAACTGCTTCTTGGGCTGCACAGAACAGCTTCGGTGGAGGAGCAGTATGTTCTGGTTATGGTCATTCTAGTGATTCTAGTTTCTGCGCAATGGCTTCAATAAACGGTTTTTTGTTTTCTGCGACAACTTTGAGCTTAGGTTCGACACGGATGCTGCCATTTCGCCAGCCAGGGCGGTTCACAGGTTACATCTCAAGGAGCCAGCACAGAGTGGTTCCTTTTTTATATTTCATGTCCTCACTGTCACTTACTTCCGTGTTGTTCTGTTGGTGGGTGCAGTCGTGTGTGCAGCCATTGTAATGGACTGGATTCTTAAACTTTGCAGGAGTCGCGGGTCCAGTGCTTGGGCAGTGCCCGTGACGAGGCGGTGATCGATGAGGTCGTTCGCATCCTCCTTGAAGATCTCAAGAAGAAGCCGATCTTGAGCTCAAGGTCAGTCCGGCGCCGGCTGAATAGCGGCGGCCCAGCGTCTTCCACGTATGCCGTGGGGGAACGACGGCGAAAAGCTGCTGATGCCATCAGTGCTACAGGCATCAAGTTTGTTAGTTGCAGGGAGAGTGGCAGTGTTTTGAATGTTTGAGATAAGTAATGTTTCGGATAGTACATACCACAGCTGTTCCTGTAACTAAGCTTTATCGGTCGGAGCTGCCAACTGCTTGACTAAACACTTTTGCGGGTCTCACCCGTCTGTTGCAACCGCGGCATGTCAGGCCGCAAGAACAAGGGCCACGATGGTGCCATTTTGGAGGCCGCAGATCGGGCCACTGTGGATGCTGGCATGTTGGCACAGGCTTCCAGTGCCAGGCCAATGGAATGGAACACGAGTACAGTGTCATTGTTCAACAGATGCTTTTCTGCACGTCATTGCTGTTGTCAGTGTTAGGTTTGTTTGCGACTTAGGAATAGTTACTTCGCGTTTGCATGTCCACATGTTCCCGTTACGCGTTTCGCTTGGCAGTCTTTACAATACGAGGTCTATTGACTGCGCGCCCCGGTGGTGGCAAAATGTTGCTGGCAGCGCTGCCAGTGTTCAATAAGGAAGTGACTTGATTGGCAAGAGTTCTGGTTTTCTTCTTACTGCTTCGGGTTTTTTCTGTTTCTGTGTCTGTGTGCCTCTTGTGTGCTTTCCTGCACGGAGTCAAGGTGAAGCACGGCAAGAACGAAGCCAGGAGTGTCGTGAACGAGCGCATGGCGGAGTGGCTGACTTCCGAGGATGCCAAAGAGTGGCGTGCGCAACGGGAGCAGCTTTGGGCGTCGGCTTAAAAAGCCCCACGGGCCGTGTGCATGTGCATCCGACTTGAATAATGTTCACTTCGTATTAAATTAAGAAAGGGGACCCCCTCCCCACGCAAGGATGTGAGCCTCAGCCTCCGTAGTTAGTAAGAGTCCGGGTCCAGCATGAGAGCCACTCATCAGTGTCATAGTGCTTCTGCAGTGTTCGCGAATTTGCTGAGCAGAACCCCCAACAGCCCCAAAGCCTTTTCAGCTCCTGTAGATTCTGCTTACAGTTTTTTCCGCTAGGCCGCTTGGATTCTGCAAATACGAGGGGGCTTGCTAATTACGTTCTGGGAATTGGATATTGCAATTACGTGGGGGATTCTAAATATGAGTTTGACATTATCACACGTGGGTAAGCTCCGAAATGCCGAGGTTGGAACATCGTGCTGGTGTCCCTCGTCCTCGAAAGGCGTGGGTCTTGGAGTGTCGCCGCGGGCCGTGTGCATTTGCATCTGAGTTGAACAAATGCACCCGCTTCTTCACATACGTGGGTAAGCTCCGAAATGCAGAGGTTGGAACATCGTGCTGGTGTCCCTCGTCCTCGAAAGGCGTGGGTCTTGGAGTGTCGCCACGGGCCGTGTGCATTTGCATCCGAGTTGAATAAATGCACCCGCTTCTTCACATACGTGGGTAAGCTCCGAAATGCCGAGGTTGGAACATCGTGCTGGTGTCCCTCGTCCTCGAAAGGCATGGGTCTTGGAGTGTCGCCACGGGCCGTGTGCATTTGCATCCGAGTTGAATAAATGCACCCGCTTCTTCACATACGTGGGTAAGCTCCGAAATGCCGAGGTTGGGAACATCGTGCTGGTGTCCCTCGTCCTCGAAAGGCATGGGTCTTGGAGTGTGGCCACGGGCCGTGTGCATTTGCATCTGATTTGAATGAATAAATGCACCCGCTTCTTCGCATACCTGGGTAAGCTCCGAGATTCCGATTCCGAGGTTTGAACATCACTGTCAGTGTCCCTCCTCGATCGCGACGAAGGGCCTGCATCTTAAATAGAGTGTTGCAGCATGTAGGGGCAGGCGGGTCCTTCTAGGTTTCGGCGCAGGGTGGGGTCCTTAAGATGAATGTTGTATTGATTTGTTGTTTTTATGTTACAAGAATCAGGGGCTGCTTGGCGAAGGGATCTGCGCACGTATCGATGTTCTATTTTAGACCCCCACTTCCCCAAGGTGCATCACTTACATCATGAGTGGGGTTGTGACAAATCGGGATAGAAACATGTCGTGACCATCATGCCTTGGCAGAGCAGTGCTGGCTGAACAGATAGCTAGCCTGCGGGTCCGCCCCTTCTGCATGCAGCAAGGCTACACAAAAGACCTCCCCTCAATCCGTGGCAGCAGGTTTGCTGTAACGGCCCCTCAGCTTCAGCAGAGGGTTCCCTCAGCTTCACGGCTGAGGGTGCCTGCTTCCATGGACAGGTGTAAGATGATTTATCGCTCACACCTGCCTGTCAAGGGGAGGCACAGTGTTGTGTCCTTCAACGTTGCTTGCTGAGTGAGCATTTGTGGTCTGGTCCTGTGTCGCCCTTTCGTCATGCTTGGCTATAGTTGGCTTTGTTCTGTACTGCGCTTGATTCTTGAACCTTGGCCCTTGACTTCCTCAAGTCGTGCTCTTTGTCTTGCGCGGTCGCTTTTGGCTTGTTCTTCGTTTCAGTTTTGGCTCTACCAAGAGGCAAGCCTGCAAGGCAACCCCAAAAAAAACATCGGGCTTGCCTTCAAACCGTTGGCCGGGTTTGGAGCTCACACTCTTGGAACCATGGTGTCTGACAGAGCTTTTGGCCAACATGCTCCAGCCTTGGGAAGCAGACGACAGCAGGGCAATGTGCCAATGTGCCTGCTGGGTTCTGGGAAGGACACCATGGAGTACAGGGAGTGGATGTGGCGGTGGGGCGAGACCCGCATCTGTCCATATTACATGGGAGGCCTCTTGTGATCGATTGACTCGCTTGACTTGCTTGACTGTTTCGTTTCTTGGTGCCTTGACCGGTCCTGTGTCGCCTTTTTGTCAGTTATTGCCGGATACCGCCTTTGGGTTCCTGTGTGAATGTTTTTGTGACACACAGTGTTTGATATGAGTAAGAATGTGTGCATCATGCTTGGCCCTGCTTGGCTTTTCTACCCTTGAACCTTGGCCCTTGACTTGCTCAAGTCGTGGTCTTTGTCTCGGTCACACATGTGCCTAATGCTATCACAGAGCTCGAGCTTGGCATGCGTCGTCAGTCATGGAGTCATAATTTAATGCATCATCGAGCGCATGTGAGTATTTGGGAAGAAACTGTAATTGTCGATGACATGTTTAGGCGCAAGAAGCCGACTGAGGTCCGAGATGAAGAACCAAGCTGCTTGCCCTGGTCCTTGCTGACATTGCCAGACCCCAAGGAGCAGGGACATCCAGGGATTTTTCGGATGCGCTTGTTCTGGACTTCATAATTTTGCGGTTTCGTCCTCGACCTCATAAATGTCCAGCACAGTTGGAATGGTAAGTTGTTTCTTTCTCAAGGCTATGTCTATAAGTGAATCTATTGGGCCTGCGCAGAGAATCCCAGCAGACACAGCAAGCAAGGTTTTGCAAGAATCAAGCAAGCTTGTCATTGCTACTAAGACCTGACTAGACTATAAGTTACTTAAATGAGGCCTCTAATTCGGACCAGTGTTCAGGGCCTAAACCCGACAACCCTAAAGTAGCAGCCTCGTCTGGACGTGTCCGAGTTGCGAGAGCGTAAAGTAGCAGCCACATGCCTCGCCTAAGATTTTCTCGCTGAGTCGAAGAGTTGGCTTCATTATGCGCTGCAGATAACTCATGGTCAGGTCAGAAGTCCTGTCTTCAAGAGGACGAATTCACCGAGCTGAGACTCGAGTCGGAGACAACAACATTGAGTCTGTCGCCATTGACAGGGTCGCGTGCCTTCACAAGACATGCACTTTGACCTTGATCATGGTGCAAGTGTCTCGGAGATGCGAACTCCTTGTTGTGGCATCAGATGGCCCAGAAGAACAAGAAGACCTGACTGCCGCGAGGCTTCGAGCAGCCCTGTGAAGGCAAGGGCAACCTCTTCTTCGTGTCCGCGCTGGACGTCTCCAACATGAACTTCTGCTCTTCCTCTTTCTTGTTTCGTTGCTTCATTGCCTTGCTGCTGGAATCACTGCTCCCTACTAGTGCTGCGTCCTAATCATAAGGGGTTTTGCAACGCGGTTTTGGTCTCAGTCTTCGTGCGGCCCAGGTCCACTGATTGATGCTGCCGCAGGCTTATCGAGGGTGGTTTCAGGTCCTTAAGCACCTTAACCCGCAGTGGAATCGTACATTAGATCAGAAAACACATTTCATGTGGTTTCCCTAGGCTGCCGCTTGCCTGCTTGCTTGTTCTTCCATCTGAGTCCCATGAAGCCTTTGGAGGTCCCAGGGTCCCAAACCAAGATCTGCAGCCACTGGCCCCATACTTACTTTGACCAAATTATTTGATTCCGAAGCGCTCCCATGAATGCAACTTGCCCTCGCCCTCGAACTGCCGAAGCCATGTCCCATGGAACATTGCATACCATTCGTAAGCACTGTCACTGTCAATGCCTTTGCATGAATCAATGTAAGTTGCCCTCGCCCTCGGACCTGCAGCCACTCAATGTAAGTCCCAGCCGAACCCTGAGTGCTGAAACCATGGAAACTTAAAATCCCAGTCAGTGAATAAACCCAGAATCACGCCCTAATCTAAACCTGTTATACAGTACAGCCTCCACACAACAAAAGAGACCTGCAGGATACCTTATCTTCCTCATTGTCATTAATCCTGTACCGTCTCAGAGCCTGAGCCCGAACTAAATACACTTACAGCCTCCTGCACCCCGGAAGCCGTGCTGATGCCCGAGCTACAAATAACCCAGAACCCTAATCCATGGGTTGTGATTTCATCTTCGGATTTGGATCCTTGGCTGGTCTGGGCATTGGTCTGGCTGCCCAGGTCGATGACGGCAAAGCCAAGGATATGCCATGCACTCAGCAACAGGCTTGACATTCTCGGGTTTTCAACCATCCTGATAACTGTACATGAAATAAAAACTAAACCCTAAAACTAGGGCTTAGGTGTTATACGCAATACCACTACTCAATAGTTTTTCTCAAACAATATGGTTGCATAATCTAGGCCCCAACCCCTAAAAACCAATTAAAGCGAAAAGCAATACTCAATGCAGGCCAGCTTTTCGTCGGATCCTTCTTATGGCAGTGATTGTCATTGTGCTTCTCTGAACGTATTTTCACTTCCCAACTCAATGCAGGCCAGCTATCCCTCAGGGTGAGTATTCTGGTCTGTGCATGATTCTGGCCAGACTGCTTGGCACAGCATGGCGTGTGGCATGAGATTGCGTTGTGTTCCCGTTGCCGCTTGTCTTGTGTTGTGGCATGACTTGCTGATAGTCACATGAATACGAGCCAGTGGAACGATGCTTACCCAGTGGAAAGTAGCCCCCGAGGGGGGTGTGGAGTTTTCACATGCACGGTTGGCCGTGTGCAGGCGTGGTTCCATTCCCGCGGTGTTAAGGCCACGCCGACGTGGCCGATGATCGTTTTACGATCTAGGCCCGGAGGTATGACAGTGGGGCACATGCGCCTAATGCGTCCACTGGCACCGACTCCTGCAAAAGCCTCGACCTGCCTGGCAAGCTTCCCGAAAGGGGGCTTTGTCGGGCATGGTCTTGGCAAAATGTCCGGGATGAGTTGGCTGGCGATGGGGAGGCCCTTTGTCCCTTTGTCTTGTGATTGTTCGATTAAGGACATGGCGTCCAGGCTGTAAGTTCTACAATCCAACCCGAAACATTGCCGTGGACCTCGATAATTTTTGCGCAGGTCTGTCCAAAGCTTGCGTCGGTGTTTGTTGCAGCGTGCCTTGTTTGGTATGGTCGATACTTTATTAATGCTCTGTAGTCTGGGCCTCTCGGCCGGAAATTGACGCTGCCACTTCGGAGCCCTGGCTCATCATCCTCACAATAATTTAATAATAGGCCGTGTTGCTGGCAGGATTGATTGAAGCAGCTTTATGCCTGGTGCCTGGTGCTGTGCCCAGGTCCATCTTCTCAGTGCAGGGGCCGTGCGTGCCTGGCCTGGATCTGCCGAGGCCTGAACATCGCACTGGTGGCACTGTGATTATTCATTGGCTACTCTGCAGGTCGAGCTCGTGCCCGGCAACAACAGCGGTGCAGGGGACAGCGACGACAATGACGATGATGACTTGTAAATCGTTGCCTCGCCGTCCGTGCCCTCGTCGCTGCAGTGTCGTCGTGTCGCAGTTCAGGGGTCCGACATGGAGACGACAATTTGCCGATGACGACTGTTAAATCGGTCTGTCACTGTCTGTGTTGAAGCAACCCCTTCGCATTGCAGTATCGTCGTGTCTGCAGCCCCACAACCAACTAGTGGAACTGATGTTTAGCCCGGTCGTATAGCAAACCCTGTTTGGTGAGCCCAGGCTACGGTATAGTATTGTATAGCTGTATACTATGTGACCGATGCAGCGCCTTTGGTTCAAGAGTAAAAGTGTGACCGCTCAGGGTTTTACAGTTTAACTTGAACGGCTAACACCGGCAAAGCCTGTGCGCCGCAGCCCTTGTAGAGCTTCGCTTTGCTGTTTCACCGCTTTGTTGTAGTTTGATGCTTGGATTGTAGTTTCGCTTGTTTGTAGGGACCGAGAGCTACAGCCGTAGTCGACGAGGCCCAGTCAAGCCAAAACCTTTGACCTTGGACTCATTGGATGCTCAAGGTCCAACCTTTCGACATACGTCGACGGGTCTCTCCACTGCCGATGGCCTTGGACTTTCGACTTGTGGACTTTTTGGCGTGCACGATCGGGACACAACAGGACCTCGGGGCCGACCGTTGTTCGACGGAACTAGAACGGCGGCCGGAGCCTTGACTTGGGCTCCACTGACGGTCTTGGGCAACTTTGGGCGACGGCCCTCTGTTGTCGTAGAACGATCGCTGAGGACCCGTAGCAAGTGCTGAACGGTTAACCCCGGCAAAGCCTGGGCACCGCAGCTAGCTCCGCCCTCTCTAATTAAGTTCCTTGTTTCACCGCTGTTTTTGTTGTTTGGTCGTTTGTTCGTTTGTAGGGACCGAGTGCTACAGCCGTAGTCGATGAGGCCCGCATAAGCCAAAAGCATGGATGCGGCAGGTTCGCAGCAAGAAGACGTTGTCAAGCCTCCGTGCAAAAAAAATCATTGTTTCTTCTCTCTCAGGCAGCGTGATGAGTTTTTCACCACGTCTGTTTGTTTGTGTGCAGTTGCAGCCTGGCTTCTAAAGCTCTTCCAGACGGGTGCGTAACTTTCATTCGAAAGTTCCTGAAACTTCACTCGGTGGAAGAAGCGCGGGAAAGTCTTCTGAGCACTGGTGCCACAACAGAGACAAGTTCTTGTGAGCGTTCTTGGCCATTTGAAATCTGTATGGAAAAGTCACTTTCTTCAGCGCTCTTGCACCATTCTGGGAAGGTCTCTGTTCAAATCAACGGTGAGAGTTTCTGTTGTGTCTCATTGGAACCCCATCCGCAAAAAGTGTTCAACCCAACACACAACATCAAACGTGCGGTTTCGACTGAAAGCACGTGGGTTGCTATTGTCCTAAACCCTCCTGCAAGACCGCTGAGACGTTTTGACTTGCGTCAAACCCTACCAGCTCTTTTTTCTCTGATTTACCAAAACGTCGCATGGAGTAACGAATTCGTAGCAAGTGCTACAGTTTCAGCTACTCCGTGCCCCACTACTCCGCGCGACTCTGCAGGGCCGCTGAGACGTTTTGACTTGCTTCAAACTATACCAGCTCTTTCTATTCTGGTTTAATAAAACATCGCATGGACATAAACACAACTGAGATTTTCAGACTTCCTCCTGAATCATCTTGAAAACAGGTTCCTGAACTTCTGGAGTAAAATCCCCGTGGCCCCATCAGCAACGTTGTGTTGCGATACGCAGCAGCGTTGTGCGTTTGCTGAAGGATGCTGTTGCGCAGGCTCGAAGAAACTGGTTCGACATTTTTAAACTGCCCTGGATTGGAATGTACTTGCAAAATTGATGCGGGGGTGCGGGGACTGCCGTTGCTTTTTCTTGCGGCGACTCATTGCGCGAGCTTTTCCTGAAGCTTCATGAGCACCCTGCGTGCTTGCAGAACTGAAAGACCCAGAAGCTCCTGCAAACAAGGTCATCAGCATGGAACCATCCATTGCGTTGTCAACAAATCCGGTCGAATATAGATTTTATTCACGTTCCATGTGGCTACACGCCAGATTTCTGCTGTTTTCCCCGACAAAACGGATGTAGTAGTCCTGGACAGAGATAGTACACGCTCCGTGCTATCTGTGTACCTGTATGCTTGACTTATGTACTTGACTTTATGCTCTGGACTGGTGGACTAGACTAATATGACTCGATGTACATGCATACTTGACTCTATGACTCTTTAGGGTTTAGGGTTTCGGGCTGAGGGTTTAAGGCTCAAGGTTCAGGGTTTTTTGCTTAAAGGTTTAAGGCTTAAGGTTTAGGGTTTATAGGCATTGGTTCACCAATAGTAAACCAATAAACCTCGAGATTTTCGTTTATTTCAATCATCCAAGAAAACTTGAGTTTGGGGACTCTTGAACCGGAAATTTGGCCTTAGCCCAAAAGAGACACCTCCAGTACTAAAGTTTGTAAAAAAAAGAATTCGATTTGGGGTGCTCGGGAGAGAAGTACATCGAGTGAAGTACAAAGAGTCACGTGCATAGTCCACAGAGTGAAAATGTATTTGATTCTACGGCTTTATGTACTTGTGTACCTGACTTATGTACTTGACTTTATGCACTGGACTGGACTAGACTAATATGACTCTATGTACATGTATACTTGACTATCTGACTCTTTAGGGTTTAGGGTTTCGGGCTGAGGGTTTAAGGCTCAGGGTTCAGGGTTTTTTGCTTAAAGGTTTAGGGCTTAAGGTTTAGGGTTTATAGGCATTGGTTCACCAATAGTAAACCAATAAACCTCGAGATTTTCTTTTGTTTCAATCATCCAAGGAAAACTTGAGGTTTGGGGACCCTTGAACCGGAATTTTGACCTCAGCCCAAAAGAGACACCTCCAGTATTAAAGTTTGTACACAAAAATCGATTTTGGATCCAGCCTGGGGGACTTTATGCATCTGTGCGTTGGACTATTTGACTCTATGTACTTGACTCTATGCGCTGGACTATGCACTTGACTCTATGCACTTCAGTGTATGCAGTTGACTTCATGTAGTTGACTTATGCACTGATTCGAGAGCTCTGACAACATGGAGTGAAGTACGCCAGTACGCAGAGTGAAGTACATAGAGTGAAATACATAAAGTACATCGATCTCGGCATTATTACGTACTTGATGACTATTCACTCTCTGACTCTATGATTTTATGCACTGGGTTCTATCAGGGAGCGCAAAATTCTTCGCTAATGATGCTTTCGGGCCAATTGTCTTTTAGTTTCACTTTTTTCTTCAGATTGCTCCTCACATTTGGCTTTCTGCAGTGGAAAACGTTTCTTGTGCGTCTTTGAACCCTGCGCGACCAGATGGCTGTCAGTTGATGTCTCTGGTTGTGGGTCTGCCTTCTTTCGACCTGTCGCTTTGTTTTTGGAACCAGTGCATACTGCAGGATCGAAAAAACTATTTTCCAGGACGACGTCCGTTGCGCTAAGGCAGACCGAGCATCCATGCCCGCAAGATGATAACGTCCATGCCTGTCGTGATTCTGTCGTTTTCGGGTTTCATTTCCTTTGTCGAGGTTCACTGGAACATCTGGCCCATACGGCGTTTGCGCATAGAGCCGCGTCCTTTGTTGTTCGAAAATGGCTTTTCAGCAGGCTGGGCTTCACAAACAATGAGCAGTTCAAGCCCCTACAACGAATTTGTTAAGTTTTTACTTGTAGATAACATCCCAGCATTGCAGTCTGACCAGGGATGCCGTCCCCCATGTCAGCAGCATGGGCCACGTCCAGCGCCAACATCAGGACCCCCACCACATGGCCAGCTGGTATTGGTCGTCGGCCAATACAAGATATCTGACACATGTTTGTTTTCTGGCTGGAGCCAGCATATTGAAAAAGAGGTCTCCCCGTAATTGCACGATAAATAATTGGGTTGGAACTTTTCTGGGAAGATTAGCGCTTAAATTAGTTAATGTGAAGAGCAACTTCTCAACCCACTTGTGTGATGCACGTTTTTGAGTAGGTTGAAAAAAGCTTTTTAGTCGGGTCAAAATGCTTTATTTGATCCGTGCCTGATTTCTGGCAGGCCCAAGCAGTTTCAGCGGGGTTTTGGGCACAAACTGCTGGGTCTGAATCTCCGGTGCAGGCCTTGGCAGCAAGCTGTTGCGCCAGAAACCGCAGCAGACCGGCAGGCAGCAGCCGTGGTTTGTGCCTGCCTGTGCTCAGGTGCTTCGCATGGCGAGACAACCAGATGAAGTTCCAATTTTGTGACGGGGTCTTGGATGAGAGGATGAACACGCAATAGTGGCCCGTGGCAGAGCTTGTGAATCTGCAAGACGCCTGCTTCGTGCATATGTTCAGGTCCTGACACCGACATAGAGGCATTCCGATCTGGAAGTTCATTCGTTGCATTGGACTCGTTGCCGTTTGTCCTTGTCGTTGCTTGACGTTACCCGGTCCTGAGTTGGACAGGCAGCATCAAGTGCAGACTGCAGTCGACACAAGGCTTCTCAATGCGCAACACGAGTGCGGGAGCAATGTTGTTAACTGACATTGTGAATGCTGACACCCCTGTTTGCTTCGCAGGAATGCAGGACTCTGCAATCATGCGATTCTCCAAGTCCCAAGGCGTGTGAGTGCACGAGCACATCTGCCAGTCGAAGACGTCTTGTGTTCCGTTACCTTTTTGTACGTTCTTCCAATGTCAGTGGTTGAATGCTGTGTCTTGAACGGCATGGAAGCAGAGCAGCTTGGACTGCGAGCTTCCTGCCGAAGCCTGGTGTTGCGAGTGCAGGTGCGTCGACGAGCAGTGCTTGCAACGGTGTCGCTATCCGTGTTGACCTCGTCTGAGTTTGAACAATCCAAGAGTGCTGTTTCAAGCCATCGCACTTGTGCATGTACTAGCACATCATCCTGTACAGCTTGTCGCAGTCACGGATGCAGCTTGAGAATGACATCTCGAGGTTCTGGTGACTGGTGGCTGTTTAACTTGCTTTTGAGGTCTTTGCTGTCATATTCTTTGCCGGGATTGCCGTTTCTGCACGCCCGATGCATCACAGATCAACCAAAGCCGCTTGATTGCACTCCCCCGTTGGTACCGAATGATGACCAGATATTTCTATTGGTCCTCTTATTGGCGCAGCTTGTTTTGCAAAGCAGTCAAGGCCGAACACGATCTCCAAGCAGTGGGCCTAGATGAGTTCTCCGCAGAAGCTTCGCACCTTGGCATCACCAGCTGCTTGGGAAGATGTGAAGCAGCCGAAGCCAGAAACATCTCAGGTCAGGAACCGAGCTGGACTCGCAAAGCAGCTGTGGCAGCAGTTTTCCTTTGTTGTGCAACGGGCTTACAGGGAACATGCTTAATAGCACTAAGCTGCGTGCATGCTGCGGTTTTAGACTTTAGCGTATCCAGGACTTCTGACTCAGCACCTAAAAGTCATGTCTCGATGAATCGGAGGCTAGGGCGCAGGCGCAAGAGAAGGTATTAGTGCAAAATAAATGTCTTGGGAAATGATGGAATGTCCTGGATCAGCCCAAGGTGATGTAGCAAGCACGGCAGATGCTCAGCTGCAAGTAGTTTTAGGATACATTGCCAGAGCAAGTGCTTGCTTGGCGCCTTGCTGTGCTGGTGTGGCATCGAAACGGTGCAGTCTAGCAACCACATACAAGCTCTTGCGCCATGCCCAGTTCTGAGACAAGGCCAATCCTTTATTGACAGTACTGACAGGAGGGTCGACCACTTAGATGTGGAAGATACCAGTCTTCAAAGGCGTACCAAGTTAAGTCTTTGCACTAGCAAAACGAACGGAGAGCAGCATAGTCCTTGCAAGAAGAGCACAGTCACCTTGCAGATAAGGAAGACAGACGGCATACACAAACACAGACGTGCAGTCAAAGCGTTTAGACATGCAGCAACCTTCTTCACTGTCCGGACTGCAACGTCCAGCAAAGAGGTAGAGCCTTACACATACTCGCACAGGCGCATAGTCGAGCTTTTCTGGAAAGGGGTATCGTTAACAGCACAAACACGATGGCTGGCCAGCATTTGCTTTTGAACGCCCGTTGTCAGGATTTGACTTCCATGGATGCTGCCGATGCTTCCGAAGTTGATGCTTCGGAAGCTCGGTAATGCAGGTTGCTTCAACTTTCTTTTCGGTGAGGTGTTTTATACTAGGGCCGACGTCGGATCCTTGTTCATGTTCGGTACTACTGTTGCAACCAACCTTCCAACCGTGCTGACCCCTGCTGGGCGTATGTTGTCCGAGATCTCTTCGTTCTTTTGACACGCTGGCACGGTCCACAGTGTAAGGACCCAGAGGTGGTTGAGGATGCGACAGACGCACTCGAGGATGGTGCAACCATTGCTGGATCCTCACAGGAGGTTCTACCAGGCGACATGCAGACTTCCGTGTCTGATATTGCTGAATCTTGACAGAAGGCTGCTCTTCTTTGGTGCACATGTTGGTGGATTTCAAGACGGTGTTTCCAAGACATAGCTTGAGTTGTGGCAGAACAGAGTAGCACAAAATTGCTGGTGTTTGTGTTATTCTGCTGTACATGCGACAAACCTGCATTCACATGTTCACTTTTCCTCGGCATTTCTGGTTGAAATTCGTTGTTGGTTTTTGCTTTTTTCTGTTTTCATGTTCTTTTTGCTTTTAAGTTTGCAGGGGGCGTGGCGGTCACATCCTAGCCACGCCAACGAAGCTATGGATGTTGACTGGATGGGTTCACAGACGTGTGAGCCTGTACCTGCGAAAAAGCTGGGCCCCTGAGCCAGCGAGATTAGCAAAAAGTTTCTTTGGAACAAGGCAGGTTTGCAGGTTTGAACACGTCTTTCGCTTGTTTTGAAGTTTTGCACGGTTGCTACAATCTGTTTGAACATGTCCATGAGAGTATCCGCATCGGACGATCAGAACATCCAGAAGGCCGGGTCAGTAGGAGCCGTTCCAGTTGTGTTCGGCAAGAGCTCCCTCACGAGGGCCTTGTCGCTATTCGGCGAAGTTGCCGGCCCACCGGGGTTCTTGTGTTAGCAGGTCTGGAAATCAATTCCGTTTCACAACATGTTCAAGTGGAGATCACTGAGTGGAAATCACATTTCTGGAAATCAGATCGGAGTTGCATTCTGGAGTCGCTTCTTGAGATCATTCCGGCTTGAGCGTTGCAGTCAGTTGTTGCTCTCATTTGCTGCCATGGATCGTGAACGTTCCCCCCGCCGCAATCCTTTCTGGAGCTCCTCTTTGCCTGCTTCGGTCCCACCTACCCCTGAGAGTTGGCTGCACCCTGCTCCCCGACCCGCCCCACCAGTGAACAGACCGGCAGTGCTTCAGCCACAAAATCTTACGTGGCAACCCAATCCACGCATTGCTCAGATTATGAACATCTCGCCAACCCCTCGCATTCCAGGCCTCCCTTCCCCTCCTGCTGCAAACTCCCCGAGAGTCTTCGGCCCGATGATGCCCGCTGAGTTTTGCCAGAACCCAAATTATTTGGATTCCCGTTGTATTGCAGGCTTGAACTTGGCCCGTTGGGTAAAGAAGACTGATTGGACAGTTCGAAAGCAGATTGATGGATGTCCGACCCACATGATACCGCTTCACTCGTTGCTTTATCAAGGTTGGAATTCGTATTGGGTGCGCCACATTGCCGAAGGAAAGCCGACTTTCTTTGCAGGCTTCAAATCGATCGGTGAAGTTGTATTTTGCCATGCCTTGTTTGGAAAGTTGCGAGATGAAGACGTCGACTTGGATGAGCTTGCCTCTATTGTGCTTGGTATCAGTGACCCAGCTTCCAAGAGCAGCGGTTCGGATTCAAAGTCGCAGGCCACACATTTGCTGGCACAGAAGGTCGTTGACTACATGCTAGGTCTGTATCCTCAGGCCTCTGTCGACACAGAGAAGGCAGCCATGGCCAATCAGATTCAGATTCTTCAACAACAACTTGCGAACTTCGAGAATGCTTCCCCCTCCCGATCTTCTAATCCAGAGGTTGCAGGTTCGAAAACGTTGCCGATTGAAGAAAGCCCCCAAGGACGTGTGCCGGAGTCTGCGCCCTCAGCTCAGAAAGTTCCGGATGGTGCCACTCGCCTTCTTCGTGGTCAGACGGCTGAGCCCAAAACCAGTCTCATGCAGGCATTCCAGAAAGGCAAACCATCCGGGAATCACGCTGAACCTTTGAGTGTCGAGCCCGATGAAGCTGAGACCCAGAGTCGCAACCCAGGCAATTCGAGTTCAGCTCCTCAGCCTGAGTATGGAACATCCTCGCATGTTGGACAGGTTGTGAAGATTGTTCTCACGGATCCCAGCAAACGTCACTTCTTGAGTCGCAGTTGGAAGGCTTGCAAGTCGGACAAAGAAGTATCGACGTGGATTGAAGGATTGAACTTGAGCAAGAACAACCGACAGAAGCTCCAAACATGGACAGCTCATGTCCAACGATGGCATGCGGACGTTCCTTCCAATGAGCAGGCCGAATTGGATCAGGTTGTTGCCAATTGGGGCGTACCCATCCGTGACATTCCCAAGCTTAAGGCGAATTCTCTGCTCCGTATTCTTGCTGCCGGAACAATTCTCGTGGCTTGACTACAGGCCATATTGGATGCCAGGGACGTGTATCGCACTGACCATCCGCCACAAGGTTGGTGGAAACGGCACCGAAGTGAAGTGGATTTGCTTCGGAATGCTCATTTATTTTTCCAAGGTCTCTACGAGACCCCTACCATGTTCGGACGACAATGCATGGACATTGTTATTTGGATCCGTGGAAAACTCCTTTTGCTTGCTTGTGAGTTCGGGCTTGTACAGTCGCCATTGACCTCTCAGCTACGTTTAAAATGCTCCAGCTACACCTGGAAATTCTTTCAGACGCAGTCGGTGATCTATTGTCGCATCTTTCTTCAGCCTGAGTTACAGAAATTCATGTATGTCGGATCATCATCCCAAACACTGGGCGACCGTGAGCGTACAAGATGGGGGAAATTCCAACAGATCAAGGCCGGCAAGTCAGTGTGCGGTGAACTTTCGTTGTTTTGGCATTATCGACGACAGAATTATCACATGGCCATTCCTCTGTTGATCATGCACGTCCCACAGGCCGATTGCTTGCACACGATTGAGCAGACATTTATCAACTTGCTACAGCCTCACCTAAATGCTCCTTGGGTTCGCTCTCTTGTCAGAGCAAAGCATGCACAGCTTGCCAACTCGGATCCAGTCAGATGTGTTCGGCGATTTGTGACCTCGTGGAGAACCTTCCGACGCTTTCGACGTCGGAATTTCCAGCTCACTGGAATGACTCCTTCGGTCTTCCGGTCGACACACATTGTTCAGAACATTGTATACAGTTATCAGATTCTGTTTGACTTAGCTTCTGACGGGCTGAAGTCCTTTCTTGCCCAAAAATATCTGCGCAGCAATCGAGTTGACTCGGATTTTCTCTATAGATTATTCAGGATGGCCACTCATCTGGGTGACCCGTTCTATGAGACGATCTGCCGGTCCAGATTGAACACTGTTCTGCAATTTCGACAGTTGAGGTGCCCGACTACATGCCGCCCCCTTTCCACTCCGTTCTTGCTACCTGAAGTAGGCTTTAAACGCTTGGTTCGCGGCATGTTGAGAGATATTCTGGATGTATCGACGGATCGACTGCTGCCGTACCACATTCCAGCGACATCGCTTGTTGCCAAAAGTCACCCTAAAATCAAGGATGTGCTGTTTTCGCATAAACCCATCCTGCAGTCGTGGGACCCGAACGAGGAGCCGCAACACGCTGGTGTCACATGTTGCTGCCATGAACTTCTTCGACGTCATCCACACCTGACTGTTGTCCAGGGTCACATTGCTTCTTCTGCCACTTTGTTGACCCTGCCACCTGATTTGACTCAGTTGGCCCAGTCCAGTTGCTCCAATCCGGTATTCATGAACGCCACGGATCATTGGACGATGTTTCTTGAAGACGTGAGGCATTGGATTGATCACCATGGCTTGATGCATTATCCGACTGTTGATATTCGAAGTGTGTGGCAGAAGGCTTGGAAGCTGCACTCCCAACACGTTGGAACACATTGGTCAGTGGATCAGGTTCGTGAGTTGCGACGAAGGACCAACGGCTTGGTGTGGCATGTCCGTGACCATGAAGGCTCGCATGCGCATGTTTTCTGTCCCGTGAAGTATTGGATGATGCTCCAGAACACTTTTACTGCTGAATCGGTCTTCAAGCCATTGTCGTTAAACCCCTCGACAATTATGGTCCAGATGGAACATGCAGTGCCACCTCGCATTCTTGAATCCTTTCCCTTCCGTTTTGGATCTCGTGCTGCCCGTGTGTCATGGGCTTACATTCTCCCCAAGTTCAAGAAAGAATGGAAAGGAGGCAGGCCAATCGTTAGTTTTGCCTCTCACCCGGCTCGCCAGTTCTTGGTTGTGATGGCGCGAGTCACAGAGATGCTTGTCGCTGAAGTGTGTCCTCACACTCGATCTTACAACGATGCAATCTTGCTTTGGCAGAACATACATGCTTTCTTTGAGAAGCGATGTCACAGCTCGGATCAAGACAGACAGAAGCTTGCCATGCACAATCAAGACTTGTCAGGTTTTTTCGTGAGCATTCCACGGGAACGGTTCATGATTACCTTTCGCATATTGCTTTGTCGTTTTTACGACGTCTCGGATGCGGATCTTGATCATGCTTTAAAAGGCGTTGTGGTGACTGTGGACTTGGAAAACAACATGTCTGTTATGAAAACTATCCGTGGTCGGCATTGCCTGTTGAATGACAAACGAGTGGCCGTCCCAATGGACCTATTTCTGGAAGCTGTACAGGTGTCCTTCAAGTTCAATCTATTCATGGTGGGTCAGCAGGCCATTCAACAGATTCGAGGTGCACCGATGGGAAGCCATTTTTCCCCGGCAGCTTGCCATGCTGTGGTAAGCCTATACGAGCACATGTACTTCGGCAAATGTCTGTTAGAGTCTTCTCGCCTGCCAACCTTCGGCCTTGTCGTTCGATATGTCGACAACCGGATGAGTTTGATTCTTGATCGCCATGCCAACTATGCTGCCGTGCAAGCTTTTCTGCACCAAGATGTATACATACCGCCCATCGTTCTTGAGTATGAGGATGGAGACCTTTTTCTGGGTTTTCATGTGGATGTACAGGAACTACGAGTACAGTATGTCCAGCCTGTTGAGACCTGGAAGTTCTTGCACCCCAACTCTGCCGCAAACACACGGACGCTGTTAAGCAGCTTTCGATCCAGAGCTCACCTGATTGCACGTGCTTCTTGGCCGTTGGAACAGCGGGAGGCCGATCTCGAACAGCTACTGCAGTCCTATGTACGACAGGGATTCGATCCGCTGCTGATGCACCCCATTCTGAAACGTGTTAGGCTACAGTTTAACAATCTTCGCGCTCGCCCGACTG